GATAGGATGTTTATTTCGATTGGTTTACTTGATTTAATACAAATGGAAGCGCATACCTTTGAGAAAATCACCCTTGAGATTCTTAGCACCTTAGACTTTAATTTGTAAAAGAAGTATCGATGGAAAGAGATACTACTACGATACTCTCAAATTTCGTCTATATAACCAAAACCAACAATTGAGTGTTGAGGAGTAGGAGCATATCCTCCAATTTCCCATGTATGGGCTGGGAGATGTACCAAAGGAGTTTGATGCTAAAAGATTTTGGTGTTCTATTTCCGGTGATATACCTCCGCGGGGGCTAAGGTCTCCATTATCCAAAACCCATGCTTTCGGTATGCGTAAAAGGTGCTTGCCTACACCTTGTTTGAATGAGGTGATAGCACCGGAGTGGCTACCCAAAGGAAGCTATTTTTCTTGCATTTCATGACCACTAATGAAATTTTAAACATTTCCACCTTTGCGTTAAATTATTTGGGTAAGGTGTATCGTGCGTCCATTGGAGACATTATGGTGGGAGGTATGATTACAAAAATCTCCGAGTTCCTTGGTTTTAAGTTCAACTTGGCCAAGGACCATATTGTTGAGGGAAAGATTAAAATTTATATGGAAGCTATTGTTCATCAAGGGATGATTGATATGGACGGAAACACCTATAAGGTGATAATCTGAAATAATTTATGTTCTAAATAATTGGCTTTATCGAGAGGGTGTCCCTTCTCTGGATAGCACATCTCAGGATGAGGGAGAACCCGATAATTCTATCCATCCTATAGGTACTTCCATGGAGGAGAACATTGTTCCTCAACCCACGCTTCCCACCCAATACGAAGCGGGTGCTTCAAATGCAAACCAAGATAGGTGGGAGTGGGTCCAACTGAAGATCCAAGGATGAAGGTGGAACAAAATAGGCAAAGAGTTGTATTGGATGACTTCCAAGCAATTATTCAACAACTCATGTTATGGTTCCTACCTCTCGAGTGAGGTTTTTATGAGTTCACCCCCTCTTTCTTGCACTAAAACATTAAGGACAATATTTGGTTCAAGTTTGGGGGGTACTTCTTTAACTTTCCTGCACTTTTCTTTATTTTCTTGCACTTTTATTTCTTTCATTTTTATGTTCATGTTCCTTTCTTGTTTTTATCTATTTCTAGTTTATTTGTTGTAATAAGACCATCTTTTCGAAGCTTTTCACATTACTTGAACTGTATAAAAAAATTTATGACATGATTCGGTTGTGGGTAAAAGGGGAAAGTATATAGAGTTTGAGGAAAGACAAGCTAGGACTAGGGACATTGGGAAAGTTTGAAAATTTAGGTACTACCCGAACACCTTATGTTCCCCGAAGTAGTACATGAGTCCAACGTGTAGATTTATGCCATAGTACTCTGCCTCTGAAAAGTATTCCCCGATTAGTTTATATTGACAATCCGACATAATTTAGACTAGCATGCATGTATGATTGGTTGAGAAACAAATAATTTTGGGCAACAAAATGATAAAAAGGAAATGAAGGCAACTAGACCTTCTAAGTTGGTAACCCTCGCCTCGTTATTTAGCCTATTTGTGGTTGAACCTCAAATATCATCCTAAATGAAACCAATAAACACACAAAGGTGTGTAAATTCATAGAAAAATAAAAAAAAAATTAACAAAAAGGCGTCTAAACAAAAATTCTCGATCGATCTTGTGCATGTGACGACATCAATAATTCCAAATTCATTAATATGAATGTCCGAATGAAAGGGAAAAAATCGAAAAAGATACTTAAGCCTGAAACATAGTTAGAAAAGTGTCCAAAAGGGAGACTTAGATTTGTGGCTTTATCGCGATTAATGTTCTTGTGAATACCTTTATACACAAGTGATTACAAAGAGAACTAGGCCTAGTCGATCGTAACAAAGACTCACGTGTGAGTATCATTAACTTTGTTTTCATATGCTTTATCATGATTTTAACCGCTTAATCTGAAAACTTATGAATGTAAGCTTTGTTTCTTAAGAACAAGCAATGGTATAAGTTTGGTAGAGTTTGATAAGTGGCCTTTACATCATTATTTCTAGTCATTTTGTCTTAGTATTTTATCGCATTTTGTTCGATTTACTTTCAATTGTCATATTTTATGTTTTGGTTTGTGATTTCTTGCTAATTTCAAGGTCTAATGAGCATCCAATACAAAGAGGGATCAAAGACAATAAAAACGAGGCAAAATGGCAAAAGATGAATTTTCCCCATACAAAAACCAGGGGGCTGCTACGGCCACCCATAGCAGCAAGAACCCTAGGCACCCCCTTGAAGCCTTCTTGGTACTAAAGTTAGAGGCCTGGTATGGCCACCTAGAGCGGCTGCTATGGGTTGTAGCAGAGAGGCAAGAGAAAGATGCCAAGTTTTCTTGTTTCCATATTTAGATTAATCCTCTTTTAATCGTGGCTCTTAGACAACAATTGATTTGTCTCGAATCTGAATAATTTTCATTAAGCCAAGAATTTTATGCACTTTTACTATTTTGATATAAAACTCATTGCCTGTTATGAGTTTTAAGAATCCATCTTTTATCACAATTTTTCATTCCAAGTTTCTACATATTATTTGCTCCTTTTTTCTTTATTACTCAAGTCTCCAAGTAAGCAACTGGGGTTCAAGGTTTAATCAAAATTCAGGTTTTATTATTCATTCTTTCTCTATTGTTCATCCGTTGTGATTGTTAGATTTGATTTTGATGAATATTGTTTCGATTATGTTTGCCTCACCATGAATGAGTAGTTTCTTAGGGACAAGGAGTTATGAGATTTATTTCAAAACCTATTGTATGATCCGTTACAATCAATTGTTAGAATTTTAATTAAATTTATTTTATAATGTGAGTTCATGCATTCCAACTTCGTTACGAAAGTAAATGGTTCTCAGGTATCGACCTTAGCCTAAAAGGATATGTGTCGATATCAGAACGTAGATTTGTAAACAACGTAGTCCAAAACAACGAAAGCGATTAGTCGAATTTACGAAAAATAGTCCATTTATTTATGAATGAGGACTTGTTTTTTCTCTCTTTTATTACTAAGTCTGTTGATTTATATTTTATTTGTATTTGTTAATGATAAATTGTTAGTGTTAATTGTGACTTTGAACTCTGAGCCTCTAACATAACTCCTTTTAATCATTAACTCAATTATTAGTTGAATTTTATTTTTGTTTATTTCACCTTTGTTATTTTTTTTAGTATAAATATATCCACGACACCTATGTTACTTGTCTCTTAGTCAGTTTCAAATAAAGATAGTATATTTTTTAAAAATAATGAATATTTTTTTATTAAAAAAATTTAAAAATAATGATTTATAATATAAACATATATAAATATAAATAAATATTATTACAAGGGGTTATTGAACCCTATTCTATTAACACATTACCAATTATCTTACCTACAAATATTTCAATATTTAAAATATATGCTAGTTTTGTTTTCAATTTTACAATTTTATATGGCTAAAATAAACTATTTTGATTTTATAAAATTCTATATTGATGTGTATTGATATTATTTAAATTTTTAAAATTAGAATTCAAAATTTAGTTAATGATAAATTTTAGACAATTTTGATAAAAAGGTTATATTAAATTAACCACAAGTCTAATCCTTAGTCAAACTAGACTTATCATTTTATTAATTTACTTATTAAATTTCCAAATAATATATATATATATATATATATATATATATATATATATATATATATATATATATATATATATATATATATATATATATATATATATATATATATATATATATATATATATATATATATATATATATATATATATATATATATATATATATATATATATATATATATATATATATATATATATATATATATATATATATATATATATATATATATATATATATATATATATATATATATATATATATATATATATATATATATATATATATATATATATATATATATATATATTCTAGAAACACAGAATTAGAAGTAGTTGTATAACTTTGTAATGTTCAATGTCTTTGCAGAATAAGGTATCACGTATGATTTAGTTAAATAATTCGTCAATTTAACTAATCATATTCATATGTCTAGAAAATGTAATAAAAATATATGATGAATTCTTACCTATCCATATCAAAAAATTGGATAGGGTTATCATAGAATAAATTACATTAAAAATTTACAAAATTTTAATTATTTAATTATATAATAAAATGATATAACTTTAATAAATTAGTTGAAGGTATAGTATCCAATTTTTTTGTGATGGATAGGGAAATTGTCTTCAAAATATATAAATTTATGTGACTTGAATCAATTACTACTGTAATTTAAATTCTGTAATTTTTATAATTTAGAAATTATATAATTAGTTAGCCATGTGAAATTGATTCACACAAATAATGCTTGAAAAAACATGGATTCCAATAAATTAAATTAGTTTTTTACTTATTGACCATGGAAAATAAATTATATATATATATTTTTATATTGAACTAATTAATTAAGTTGTTTAATTGTACTCTGCGGTTTGTCCGAGCCCATTGTTTTTTTTCCTATTTTTTATATTATATTCTATTTACCATTTTTGTTAAAATTATTCAAACCATATTATGCCAAACTCATCCCATATATTGAGTCAAAGAAAACACATCACTATGCCTAAGTTAAAATATATTATATTACAAAAAAGTTCATGCATCCTAAAGTTTGACTTTTCAAAGTCTTCAAACTTATCTTTACCTATTATTAATAATTAATTAATTCTATACTTTATAATATGATATATATTTTTTCATTTTAAATTATAAAAATAAATATCACCTTATTATTATTATTATTATTATTATTATTATTATTATTATTATTATTATTATTATTATTATTATTATTTTAAGAGATAATAGAATATATTAACTTCTGTGTTGATAAATATCATTGAAAGTTACATTAGATTACATCATTTTTTGAGGTTTAATAATGTCTGAGAAACAGTTTGGCAAAGAAGAGAAGAGAAAGCTAAAGCGCATGATGGAAAAAACAATTGGTGATGATGATTTAGAATTAGAGGTGTCTTTGTCTCTGAGTCTAGGAGGACCTTCATTGGAAACCCTAAAGCGTCAGCGTCTGGAAGATGAGAAGAGGGAACATCCATGTAAGTTTTGCGACAAGAAGTTTTCAACCTCACAAGCATTGGGAGGACACCAGAATGCCCATAGACGTGAAAGGGTGCTTTCAAGAATAGACAAAGAAATTCAATTGGGAACTTTTGGATATGGTGGTTATAATTTTCCATATCCCTTCATAACTGCAGGCTCATCTTTTTATAATGGAGTTGGAGCTTCATCATTTGTTGCACCTGTTGGCTATGGGACTGGCAGCCCATTTGGTGGCTATAACAGCTCTTCTTGGCCTCATTCATTTGTTGGAGCTGGAGTTAACAATGTCCGAATGGAAAATAACAATTACAATGTTCCAAATGGTCACCATATTTCATCCTCATTTCCTCATTTCTCCAATCATTAGTATCTTTTACGTTTTTATTTTATTTTTTATATATGATTAGCTACTCTTGTTACAATCAAAAGAGAGCAAGTCTTTAAAATAATAGAGTTAGTGTTATACTAGCTTATATCTCGTACTCTTGGTTAGTTTTTATTATTTGTTGTAATTGTGATTGTCTTTAATAAATTTTTTTTATAATTTATTATATTTGACTTATTACATTATTTAGACTTATGACATTCTTGTTGAAGCTTCAATTCTTGCCCACCCTTGGGCTTGTCGATTCAGCATGATTGAAGATTATTTGCTATTCAAATCCCTATTTATTTTTTCAACACCCTTGTTGTCTTGCAAATGTTATTCCGGTTCTCTCTTTTGATGGTGGAAGTGTATCTTACATAACCCACAATTTAGATATTATTGTTACCTCTCGTCTGTTGGAGAACAATTCGTTGGGAGGCTTCGATTCTTTTGGGCATGTCTTCCCATCAATTCACTGTTTTCATTATTTTAGCTAAGGTGTGGTTTTAATATTATATCCTCCCACTCTAAGAGTGCATAGACCATTTTGGATATGAGATCAGGAGATGCGCAGGAGTTAGACTCTGACCTAGTCCCTTGTAGGCTGAAGTGTCTGTTTGCAATGACCTCTTCACTGTTTAAATTAGTTTCTCCCCTATTATTGGTCGCTTGCCTGAAGTTTCACTCGTTGATCACTTTATGCCAGACTCAGGGCCAAAACCTAATATGGACCAGAGAATTCAAATGTTCCTAACTTCTCCTCAAGATTCAGGTATGGCTAATCCCTTTTGTGATCCTTGCTCTTTTATTGGCTTTTTGTTTGCACAATATTATTCCCATGTCAGTAATAGAGGGAAGGTTGAGTTCTTAGAGGTTCTTGTTATTTGTTTGTTTAGAAGGCTCGACAATTCCTTCTTCTTCATGTTTGTTGACTTTGGTACTGCTTTTATCAAGGGTGTCATAGTGTGTTGATAGAGATATAGATAATAGAGTTTTAAGGGTTACTAAGCAGTTATGTTACGAGTATTTGTTAAGTGATGATTTTGTTCTTGAAATTCTTATGGTATTGGATAAGAAAGATAAGAAGAAGAGATCTATTTGTTTGTCTAGGCTGAGGAGTAGATGTTAATTTTCTCTTTGAATATTAGGGGTTAAGGTATAATTAAATGAAGGAAGGTGTGAGATCTTATTCTTGCTAACTTCTTAGATTTTGTGGTATTCAAGAGACCAAACTCATTGAGATCTCCGATTCATTTATTCAATCCCTCTTGGGTAATCCTTTTTTGTGAGTGTTATCGTACCTCGAAAAATATGATCATTTTCTACGTTCGTTGTACTCAACGGGAACCTCTTGATTCGATTCGAGAGAAAAGTTAGCTAGGGTTGTTTGTTTTCTTCTAAGGATTTGCTTCTAAGAAAAAAATAGGTGGTTTTTATATTAGGGTGTTCACCAAGGATTGGGGCCCTTGTGCCTACGCACTCCCTCGTGCAATGGGAAAGTCAGAGCGTCGTAGTTCGTGGACTACGGAAAAAGGTTTGGGGTAAAAGGGAAAAAGGTAGCTCTCTAGGATCTCGAAATCCTATGCCTACGTACCCTCATAGTGCAATGAAGAAGTCATAGCAACCGTAGTTTGGAAGACTATGGTTGGTTGGTTTGTGTTTTCAGCGAACCAGTGTTTAGGTCGCATTCTAATTACTAAACATTGGCTTGTCTGCTCGCTAGGGAGGCTGAAGCACTAGTTCATATGCGCAGAAGAAGGGACTAAACAATGTTCTTGGAAAAAAGTGTTTGAGTTGTAAATCGTACGAGAGCGAAGAGTTAGTGTTTTGGGAAGTTTCGATCGCACGGGGGCGAGAGAAGAGAGTTTAATGTATTGGATGCTTTTTTGAATGACGATTACTTGAAACTTAAGAAAGGCTCTTCGGACCCAAGTAATTGAGAGAATGAGTCAAAGACTTGACTCTCTCTCTCTCTCTCTCTCTCTCTCTCTCTCTCTCTCTCTCTCTCTCTTTCTCTCTCTCTCTCTCTCTCTCTCTCTCTCTCTCTCTCTCTCTCTCTCTCTCTCTCTCTCTCTCTCTCTCTCTCTCTCTCTCTCTCTCTCTCTCTCTCTCTCTCTCTCTCTCTCTCTCTCTCTCTCTCTCTCTCTTTCACCCTTAATTATGAAAGAGTTTCGATGTAATTAGAGTGTTTCAAACGGATGACGATTACTCGAAGTTTAAGAAAGGCTCCTTAGGCCCAAGTAATCGGGAGAGTCAATCGAAGATCCGACTCCCTTTCTTTTTCATCTAAGTGTTGAGAAAATAAATTTGATTTCATTTATTATAAAAATAGTTTGATGTAGGATCAAATTATGAAAATTTTTGGAGAAGATAATTGTTCGAACTTAAGAAAGACTCCTCGGGCCTAAACAAGACTCCATTCCAACTCCCTTTTCAATGCTTATTAAAATTGCGTTTAAGTATGATTAAGTTTATTAATTTGACTTTGATAAAATGCTCGATGTTGATTGAGGTTTGAATTTGTGTATGAAACAGTCAAGGTTTGAACTAATGGAAGGGATGTCATATTGGTATAGGGTAAGGTCGATGGCGAGGAAAAAGCGCACGACTTACAAGAGGTATGGTTTGTACCTTAGGGTCTCAATTTGAATCAAGATAAATGAACAAGTAATTGAATTGAGTTTTAATCGTGTGCGCTAGCAAAGTGGACCAGTATTCTAAACTACCAACTAGAAAAAATTGATCGAAGAGGTCTCACTGTAAGAAAGCCCAGGAGTAAGCTTTTAAATGTTGTGAATGGTGACCAAGAGGTTGATGGCGATTCTTTGAAAGCAATTGGCTTACAAGGGTTAAAATGGCTTGACGTTTGATCGAGAATTTATTTTGAAAATGATTTTGGGCGATATAATGAAAATGCATAAACAAAATAAATGGAAGCGGTAAAGTTATTACACTTCATGGGAATGTGGTACATTTTATCGAATGAGGATAAGAGATAATTAAATCAAACCCAATTGAACAAGCATACATAAAAGGTGTTCTTTGTAATAAGGCCCAAGAGTAAGCCACGAGACTTGAAAGCAACCGATACCGAAGGTAACCAAATTAAAACCCGTATTAAGCTCATTAAGAGTACATTCAAGTGGGAATCACACTATAAATAGTCAGGACAAAATCTATGCATCCAAACGAGTTCCGAGAAAAAAAATCAAATTTATACTCCGAATTTGCAATGAACAACAAAACTCACAAAAATTATGTACACATTTATGGATTACATAGAAATCGAGTAACTCCATTTTCAAATAACAAATCCATCATTAAAAATTATTCACAATATCTAGGAGGTGCAAAGTGGTTATTAGATGCAAACGACGCCATGGGCTTAAAGCCCATTTCAAAATCACTTATCCTTATTAAATATAAATAAAATAAATTGGTAAATAAAAGAAAGGGCAATAGTAAGAATAACATAAAATAATAATAATAAAAAACAAACATTGCCACATGAAAGGCAACATCAACTTACTGCATGAGAGTTTTCAAACCCCAATCCAATAAAGACAAGTAGCTCGGTGTTTCCCTTGAAAATCGGAAAACAACCGCTGATCTTCCAAATCTAACTTTGGTGACTCACAGGATCGATCAGATTGATCCTAGGACATGTTCTAAAAGGTTCTTTACTTTGAAAATTTATCTAAGTTTCACACTTAAACAATATTGGGGTGAAAGAATCTTAAAGAAACATCTATTCGACTACGGAATAACTTAAAAGATAAAATAAAGCCTTCAATAAAAGAAAGAAGAAAGTTTGTTTAGAGAGAGGAAATTAGATTGAGGGCGAAGAGAAAGGAATTGCATAGGAAAAGAGGAGAAAGAAAGAAAGTGAGGAAGAAAGGTGCAAAGACAATAAAAACTTTGTAAAGTTTAAAGCAAAATAAAGTAAATTTCATTAAGATAAAAGATGGTGTATTTACATCACGTACATTCTCTATAATACTCGCTTTCTCTATGCTCGGATACTTGGAGTAATTCTAAGAGTAATTTGTACAAAGGTAAATTACAACACGCCTTGCTTATGTCTATGACATCCTATTTATAGTAGTAAAAAATAACTTCTAATAACCTCCGACATCACCTCCTCTCGCCACTTGTCACAATGCATGGATTCTACTGCTTATAAGGTGCCACGCGTCTTCTTAATTTTTTGGCAAACAAAACCGTTCCCTCCAACTTTTGAATTTCAAACCCTTCGACGAACCATCCACAACAGCAAGCAGTCGAACTCCTAGCTTCTGGGTGAGTTTTTCGACTCCTTCTTTTAGTTGTCTTACATCTTTCGACCAATCTTTCGTTCTCAACTTGTTCTTGGAATTTTCATCTTGAATTCCTTTCTTCTACATGGGGCGTCAAAATTAGGAGCTATAAAATTGCCCCTCAAAAATGTATTTTCGACTTCTGATATGGAAAAACACATTTTTTGATAATCTCTGACTTTCGACGCCGCTTGTCCTCTTCCTACGTGTCGTCTGATGTTCTTTCAACCAATGCAAGAAAGAGAAACAAGGAAATAAAGGGGAACACGCAAGATACTGACCCGCCACCTTGAGGCACGTCTCTGACGTCACTTTCATCATGGCGATTTTCTCAGGAATCACCAAAATCGTGGGCCATCATCACCTTTTCCACCTAGGGGACATGAATTGCAACTGCTATCTCTGCCACCCTACATCCAAGCGCACACGTGGCCCACTAACTCTAGCCCCTTAATGATGAAAAAACATTCAATCTTCCATACACTATATAAGTCATTCTCCTCTTATATTTTCATTTTTACCTCTAATCTTCTACTCCCCAACCAACAAACTTTTTACTTCCTTCAAAAATGGCTGATCATCAAAAGAAGAAAATGCAACTCAAAGGACAAACCTTTGCATCAACTCTTCCTCCCTTTGCCAGCTTGAGCGGTCCCTAGGTAGTGAAGAACCAACAGTTCATTC